ATCAGGCCTTCATGGTTGAATTGCTGCAAAGAAACCACTACTAAAGGACACCAATAAGAAGAAGACTTGCTTGGGCCAAGAAACACAAGAAATGGACATTAGACCGGTGGAAATGTGTCCTTTGGTCTGGAGTCCACATTGGAGATTTTTGGGTCCAACCGCTGTGTCTTTGTGAGACGCGGTGTGGGTGAACGGACGATCTCCGCATGTGTATTTCCCACCGTAAAGCATGGAGGAGGAGGTATTATGGTGTGGGGGTGCTTTGCTGGTGACACTGTCTGTGATTTATTTAGAATTCAAGGCACACTTAACCAGCATGGCTACCACAGCATTCTGCAGCGATACGCCATCCCATTTGGTTTGGGCTTAGTGGGACTATCATTTGTTTTTCAACAGGACAATGACCCAACACACCTCCAGGCTGTGTAAGGGCTATTTTACCAAGAAGGAGAGTGATGGAGTGCTGCATCAGATGACCTGGCCTCCACAATCCCCCGACCTCAACCAAATTGAGATGGTTTGGGATGAGTCGGACGGCAGAGTGAAGGAAAAGCAGCCAACAATTGCTCAGTATATGTGGGAACTCCTTCAAGACTGTTGGAAAAGCATTTCAGGTGAAGCTGGTTGAGAGCATGCCAAGAATGTGCAAAGCTGTCATCAAGGCAAAGGGTGGCTATTTGAAGAATCTCAAATATAAAATATATTTTGATTTGTTTAACACTGTTTTGGTTACTACATGATTCCATATGTGTTATTTCATCTTTTGATGTCTTCACTATTATTCTACAATGTAGAAAATAGTAAAAATAAAGAAAAACCCTTGAATGAGTATGTGTTCTAAAACTTTTGACCGGTAGTGTATATATATTTTAGAAAAATATTTCATTTAATGCAGCATTGTACTTTTGAATATAAAATGATTCAAATTGCACAACATGTGTAGGATACTTTAAAAAAATGTTTTCTTTTATAGTTATTTTATATTGTCAGTTAAAATACATAATTATTCAGAAGGTTTCAACATTGGCAATTTGCAAATGCTTCAATCATATTCATCATATCTACAGTATCTCACAAAAGTGAGTACACCTCTCACATTTTTGTAAATATTTGAGTATATCTTTTCATGTGACAACACTGAAGAAATGACACTTTGCTACAATGTAAATTAGTGAGTGTACAGCATGTATAACAGTGTAAATTTGCTGTCCCCTCAAAATAACACAACACAGCCATTAATGTCTAAACCGCTGGCAACAAAAGTGTCTCGATCGTCTACCAATGAGGAGGACCAAGGCGCAGCGTTGCAGGCAAACATACTCTTTATTGAGCGAAACACGATCAAAACAACAAAGACGGTAATGTGACAGTTCACGGTCAAACACAACCAACTTGAAACAAGAACCCACAAAAACCAAAGGAAAAACCGACAGTTTAAATATGGCTCCCAATCAGAGACAACCAGCAAACAGCTGACACTCGTTGCCTCTGATTGGGAGTCACTCAGGCCAACATAGAAATAGAGAACATAGATCTACACACCCTGGCTCAACATAACAGTGTCCCCAGAGCCAGGGCGTGACAAAAAGTGAGTACACCCCTAAGTGAAAATGTCCAAATTGGGCCCAAAGTGTCAATATTTTGTGTGGCCACCATCATTTTCCAGCACTGCCTTAACCCTCTTGGGCATGGAGTTCACCAGAGCTTCACAGGTTGCCACTGGAGTCTTCTTCCACTCCTCCATGACAACATCACGGAGCTGGTGGATGTTAGAGACCTTGCACTCCTCCACCTTCCGTTTGAGGATGCCTCACAGATGCTCAATAGGGTTTAGGTCTGGAGACATGCTTGGCCAGTCCATCACCTTTACCCTCAGCTTCTTTAGCAAGGCAGTGGTCGTCTTGGAGGTGTGTTTGGGGTCGTTATCATGTTGGAATACTGCCCTGCGGCCCAGTCTACAAAGGGAGGGGATCATGCTCTGCTTCAGTATGTCACAGTACATGTTGGCATTCATGGTTCTGTCAGTGAACTGTAGCTCCCCAGTGCCGGCAGCACTCATGCAGCCCCAGACCATGACACTCCCACCACCATGCTTGACTGTAGGCAAGACACACTTGTCTTTGTACTCCTCACCTGGTTGCCGCCACACACGCTTGACACCATCTGAACCAAATAAGGTTATCTTGGTCTCATCAGACCACAGGACATGGTTCCCGTAATCCATGTCCTTAGTCTGCTTGTCTTCAGTAAACTGTTTGCGGGCTTTCTTGTGCATCATCTTTAGAAGAGGCTTCCTTCTGGGACGACAGCCATGCAGACCAATTTGATGCAGTGTGCGGCGTATGGTCTGAGCACTGACAGGCTGAACCCTCACCCCTTCAACCTCTGCAGCAATGCTGGCAGCACTCATACGTCTATTTCCCAAAGACAACCTCTGGATATGACGCTGAGCACGTGCACTCAACTTCTTTGGTCGACCATGGCGAGGCCTGTTCTGAGTGGAACCTGTCCTGTTAAACCGCTGTATGGTCTTGGCCACCGTGCTGCAGCTCAGTTTCAGGGTCTTGGCAATCTTCTTATAGCCCAGGCCATCTTTATGTAGAGCAACAATTATTTTTTTCAGATCCTCAGAGAGTTCTTTGCCATGAGGTGCCATGTTGAACTTCCAGTGACCAGTATGAGGGAGTGTGAGAGCGATGACACCAAATTTAACACACCTACTCCCCATTCACACCTGAGACCTGACACCGGGGAGGGAAAATGGCTAATTGGGCCCAATTTGGACATTTTCACTTAGGGGTGTACTCACTTTTGTTGCCAGTGGTTTAGACATTAATAGCTGTGTGTTGAGTTATTTTGAGGAGACAGCAAATTTACACTGTTATACAAGCTGTACACTCACTACTTTACATTGTAGCAAAGTGTCATTTCTTCAGTGTTGTCACATGAAAAGGTATACTCAAATATTTACAAAAATGTGAGGGGTGTACTCACTTTTGTGAGATACTGTATATATATCTTGAAAGTCGAATAACATCCATAAAAATGACACAACCAATTGATTCTTGGTCAGTTATCGTCCCAATTTCTTTTGTTTTATACTGTATGTTGTTGTTTAAATAAATATTCAAAGAATTTCCCCCAAGGAGTGAATTTTACTACTTATTTTTTTCTCAAGAGAACCGGGTAAAAGACTGCCATTCTCAAACTCTCCAATGCTTTGTTGACACCCTGAGAAAAATATGCCATATATCAATATCTTTGAGCTTTCAGTTTGAAAAACAATCAGTAGTGGGACTGCATTTTTCATGCATATTAAAGTATAGTCGGAAGCCTAACTTGAAATTGTGCATATATGTTAAAATCATATACCCCAGATTAGGATTTGGGCTTAAGATACAGTAGCACAGTGAGTACTTCTACTCTTACAGAAAACAAATATATGACAAAATAAATATGTCAAAATATAAATCTTAAATAGATATTTCAGAGTTGGAGTTTAGAGAGGTGGATATTTTAGAGGTCAAGTATATTTAAAAACAACATTACAATCATTGTCTTTGTATAATATATTGATCATGTCAGTCATAATACAATTATGAAATTGATATTCTGAAGGTAGCATGCTCAAGCATGTGGTGGAGTGAAGGGAGAATAGGGCTGTGTCCCAAAAGTCTTTAAAATGTTATTTCCTCATCTCCTTCTCTTCTCCTTCTCTTGTCTGCTTCTCTTGTCTCCTTTCTTTCAATACCACTGATAGGTAAAGGTGATAAATAGAGCCTCACAATATAATTTATATACTAAATATATAAAATTATTATTATTAATATTGTTCTCACTGTCACTTGGGACCGTTCACTCAAAAATCAAGGTTTGTCTGACGTTTTTAGACCCAAAAAGTAATGTACAGATGAGTCTATGTCCCGCATCAAATCTTGTGTAGATCCAACTACATGTATATGCCTTAATCCCAAATAAATGGAAATACATTTCCTTAATCTGGAATTAATGGAAATTAATTTCCTCATTTTATTCAGTGCCTATATTTTTCATTAATTTGGGGTTGAGGCATACAGTTGGATCTAAAAAACATATGTCCTGGTACGTGGACTCATCTCGACACCAGACCACTTTTGAGGGCTGAAAAGATCTTACTAACTTTTGTTTTGAAGTGAAGTGTCCCTTTAAGACTATTAGGACCCATCCAGAGGTGGAAAGATGGCTGGAGGAAGGGGGGGTGGAATGATGATGGAAAGATGGCTGGAGGATGGGGTGGAACAATGGTGGATAAGGTGGATAGATGGCTGGAGGAGGGGGGTGGAATGGTGGTAGATAGATGGCTGGAGGAGGGGGATGGAATGATGGTGGATAGATGGCTGGAGGAGGGGGGTAGAATGGAATCCTAGATTAATCTAAGTATTCTTTATGGGCTCCCTTTCCTTGCCTCTTTTCTTTCATGCATACTGATCTGAGAAGACTGAAACAAAATGGCGGGGGTCTATGGGCTAGCTAGGTTTAACTACATCAGAAGGGGGGGAACTTGCGGGAATTGAGCTGCAACCGACCTACAACTGTGCAGAATGAAAGACAGACAGACTAGAATGCTGCAAGGTAAGAAAAGGAGCGTTTTGGAAAAACAACAACACAATTGGCTGGAAGAGTTTCTCTCTGGCTTTCACTCTCCCCCTCTCTCTCATGCTCCTTCCATGCCCTGCCCCCACCTCCTCACCCTATCTCTCTCACCCCTTACCCCGGGGTGGCCAATCTTGACCAAGGAGAACCGCAGGGCTGTGTAGGCTCGAGCCCAGCACTAACACACCTGATTCAACTACCGGTAGTTAACTAAGCACAGTCTTCAATGTAGACCATGATTAGTTCAATCGGCCCTGAATCCTAACTTGAGTTAGGATACAGGGCTGGATATGTTGGGGTTGGAACAAAAGCCTGCACACACTGAGTTCCACCCCATGCCTTACCCCCCCCCCCCCCCTTCTCCCACCTCATTGCCTGTCGTCAGAGAGCATGTTGAAGAGCGCCTGCAGCAGCCGGTCGTCTCTGTGCCTGTAGGGCTTGGCGCTGTAGAAGCCGTCACTGTAGTCGCTGTAAAGGCTGTCATCCTGCCCGGTCCGCTGGTACTGGTTGATCCTGTCCAGGGCCTGGTACAGCTTCTGTGGAGCGATGCGAGGGCCTGCTCCCCCTGGAAGGGAGGGGGTCTGCCGGTTGAAGGCCGTCTGGAGGAGACGCAGGAGGGCCAGGGAGGGGGACAGGGGTGGGGAGGAGGGCCTCGTCTGCTTCCTCTCGGGGGTAGCTGAAGGAGGGGGTTGGGTCTTCTGGGGTGGGTGGGCCTCAACCTGGGTGGGCAGTTCCTATAGGATTGGATAGAGAGAAAGAAGAACAGACATACAGACAGAAAATGGTTTAGTGGATGAGGTCAGTAAGCTACACAGAATTGCATTTGAGGTCTGACAACAGTCGACAGACCATATATACACATGTATATTTAACTATCTCATATGTAGACACTGGTATGGTTCCGGAGATAATAAATATGAAGTTAAAAAGAGGTGAAAAGTCCCTTTAATTATCGTGCTCACCCCTATCATGTCGTCCATGTGCTCTACTCCTCTACGGTCATTCTGGACAGCATTGTAGGGGACGTACACTCTGGGTTTCTTCATGTGCTCGGGCTTCTCTGACGTGCCATGGAGAATCAACTTCCAGGTCAGGATCTGACCTTCGTTCTCCATCCGCCCGGACTGACAAAGGGAAATATAAAAAGAGCGTCAAAAACAATATGGACAATTGATACAACACAATGCCTATGCTATGTGGCATTTTGAGCAGTTCGACCACAGTAAATGGCCAGCTCCATTTTCTATTAAGTTTGAAATCGTCTAAACAAACTTTGTTGGAGAGTAATGGATTGGAACTATCCCTTTAAAATGTGAAACAGCCAAAGCGTTCTCCAGCCCTGTGACTGACCATGTCAGTGATCTTGATGGTCCAGGTGCCAGTGGGGTCCTCTCCCCAGGTGTGAACAGACATGAAGTCCCAGTTCCTGAAGCCGTTAGATGACATGTCCCTCTCTCTCTCTGCCAGCAGGACCGTGCTAGTGCCTGATGGCAGAAAATAATAATGGATCATATAGCCTTGTGTTTTTTGGTTTTACTATCCTGGGGACATGAAGTCCTCACAAGGATAGTAAAACAAGGAGAATTCGGACAAGTGGGGACATTTTGCCGGTCCCCACAAGGAAAAAGGCTATTTTAGGCTTAGGGGCTAGGTTTAGGGTTATAGCTCAGACATACCGCCAGGATTGTCGAACATTTATCTGCCGACAGTACTTAGCACCTCTGAACAGTGTCAGCAGTCAATCTCTTTTGTGAAGTCATCAGCTACTCAGCCTTGTTAAAATACTCCAAACCAAGAGGTGGCAATAGCGTTGTTTGTCAATGCATGTCTGTGTGTGTTGCTTATGGTCTAGATTCCAGTGTTAGCTAGCTAGCTAGCTGCGCTAATATTGTTATTTTGTAGAAAGCCCTTGTTGATACTAGCCAGATGGCCACAGCTAGATAACTACCTAGCAATATGACGAAGAAACAATTTAATTCACTCTCCATAATCCCATACTGTCAGTGCCAGCACATAGCCAACTGTTTAGCTAGCTAGCTAACGTTAGCATATTTGCTAGAGGACACTGCTCTAACTCGGCAGCTAACACAGGCAGCTGTTTCATGTAAACTAGCTAATCCATTGTCATTTAATTGTAATGTCAATACTAACTACAGTGGTTAGCTAGCTTGGAGGAAGTATTTAGTGTTGTGTGCATTGCGTCTGTGTACTTACTGTAACTAGCTACCATCCCATAGCCTACATTGCATATGAAGTGTAACAGGCTCATCCGTGGATATACTATATAAAAAAATATATAGTATCTCTGATTGGCTCAAGTCAAGTTGTTGGCCACTGACGAGCATTTCTATTCTACAAGTAGAAACGGTAGGTTTGTCGCTAACGGGTCGGCATGCAGCAGGTACCGCTTTTGTTCTCGCAAGAGAAGGAACGGCCTCCCACTGTGATAAGTCTATTGGCAGTGAGATTCTCGGTGTGCTTCATGCTTTAAGGTTACAATTAGGATTAGGGTTAGAATTAGGGTTAGGAGTTAGAGTTAGGCGATAAGGTTAGGTTAAGGGTTATGGTTAGGGAAAATAGGATTTTGAAGGATAGTTTAACAAACGTGTGTGTGTGTGTGTCTAACCTGTTGGGGATGTGAGCGTGATGTGTAGGTCTCCTCTCCTGGTGTACTCGATGCTGGCCTCCACTTGCACATGCTCCAGTGAGAGGACAGTGTTGTCCTGGCCGGCACAGGCCTTGGTGGGGATCTCAATGGTGATCTCTCCTGCTGCTTTCAATGCCCTGGGAAAATGACACAGCACAGGAAATCAGTACTGTGGTTGCACTACCACCATAACATACCAAATCAAACAACATTGGTTCAACGTATACTGGCCATGATTCATATACCATCGAATATAGTCGGACAAAACATGGTCTCATAATAAATCTAAATAGTGACAATTAACCATTATTTATTGGTTATATTGGTATGTGTTACTTGTGGATACATGTCAACATTCTGACATACAGTATTTCTAATGAGAGTTGTCTGTCTGACTATATTAAATGAATACTACATATTACCAGATTTGACAACACATACATTTCGATGGCCAGTGGTTGGCCCAAAATCAGGGTTAATCCCTATATTCACCCAAGATGTGAATGGATGGAGCAATGACACAAATGGAGGCTTAAATCCTCCGGATTATACAGAGGTGGCGTGATCATGATGGCCTAGGTCAAAGTTAACCAACTGGTGGCCCCCCAAGGGATTATATTTGGCCCGCCAAGTTTTCTGAGCAAAATAAAATGAAGTTTAAAAATATATATTTTTTAATTTTAATTTTTTATTGTTGGACATAAAATACTTAATCTAGTTGATGATCCCTGGCCTAGGTAAAAAGGAAACTGGGTGTCATGCCACTGAGTCGCTTAATCCTAGCTGCCTGGCAAAGGGACATGACCAAGAATCAGGTTGCAGAGACATGTTTTGTGTTTGTCCTTTGTGTTTGTAGTCACAAATAACTTTATTCACAGCTAATATTGTCCTCATGACCTAATCTCTCCCATTGATGTTTGGTTAGCAGAGGCTAGTAAGGCTGTTTAATGAAATCCATATTGTGGACTACAGTCTCTTATAGCCTGTAAACTACTGTCAGGGTAAGGAACCATAACTGTAAACTCTATACCAAACCTATCCTTTGAACTGAAGGTCATTTAGCCTAGCGCTGGTGGCTAAACTAGCTAGCGCCCACGCGTCCTAAGGCAGTTAATCCGAAAGGAAGGTAAACAAAACATCTGCTCAGATAAAAAAAATCTAATCCCTTCCTTCTGAGGTTTAATCTGGAGATAAATGTTGGCTTTGCAACATTGCCAGCTAGCTTTAGCTCTAGCTTTAAACTCCTAAAGCCTAATAACCTAAAGTTATTAGCAAATAGAAGATCGCTCCAAAGATTGTTTGAGCCTTCCATTACAGAAATCTAAGACGGAATCCCAGCTTTCCTATCAATACAGACCGTGGACATACACATATGTGCGCTTATGCATGTACACATAACATAAACACACAAAACAACACTTGACCCGACACACAAATCTCTTTGTTATAATTGTTCCATATGAGAAACCGGTCAAACTACAGATGGCATTATCATAGAGTCATTAGAAGAGCCAAAACACAGGGACATCTCAGGACGCGGGATTCTGTCCCTAATGGAATTTCCGGTGCACTCCATAAATGTGCTTGTCCACAGGAATTAGTCTGAATTGAACAATACAGGGCGGCAGGTTAAGAGCACTGGGTCAGTAACCGAAAGGTCACTGGTTCGATTCCCTGAGCCGACTAGGTGGAAAAATCTGACGACTAGGTGGAAAATAGGTGCCCCTGGAAAGGCACTTAACTCTAACTGCTCCTGTAAGTCGCTCTGGATAAGAGCGTCTGCTAAATGATTAAAATGTAAATGTAAAATGCATGTATGTTACGTCAAGAGGATTACATGTTTCTGGTATACTAGAATACTAGAGTGTCTTTGTACCTGGGCTGGAAGGAGTCGTCCCTGATTATGCACTGTTTCTTTTCGGGGACGTGTTTCCAGGTGGCTGGGTCGGCCAGGTCCACCAGGGCCTTGGCGTTGAGCAGGCCGAACCCAAAACGACTGTTGACCATCAGGCCTGCCCCATTCCTCTTCCAGCCGGGGTTGTTGGCCAGCGGGTCGAACTCAGACGTCCACACCACCAAGTGCTGCAGATCCCTCCATGTCAGCTCAGGGCTGAGGTGAGGGGTTAGTGGGGATAGACAAATAAGAAGTCCGACATGTCCCTAAACACCTATTTCATTAGTGGAAATTGTTTAAGTCATCGTTTAAGCAGACGCTCCGACTGTAAGGCGCTACAGATGGTAGTGCGTACAGCCCAGTACATCACTGGGGCCAAGCTTCCTGCCATCCAGGACCTATATACTAGGCGGTGTCAGAGGAAGGCCCAAAATTTAATTTAATTTGATTGTTGCCTTACTTTTGTTCCAGTGCCAGGGCAAATATCCCAGCAGCCAGTGGGGCGGAGGCAGAGGTTCCCGTGTGTGTCTCTGTGCATTCATTATGCAAATCAGCACTGGTCTGCAGGAAGACAGAAGTAAACAAAGTTACCATAGGTACCATAAAGTAAAGTAACAAAATGTGACACAAACACTAATCTCCACTATCCAGTGGTGTGGGGGAGCTGGGGGTAAGGTCACTCACTATTCTCTGGTCGGTGTAGTCTCCGCTGCTGTAGGCGGTGGCCAGGGTGGAGGAGCACTTCTCAGCGTACCAGGGGGACAGGCCCTGCTGGGAGGCACTGCTGATGGAGATGGTGTAGATGCTGTCTGTGTAGCCGTCGCAATCGCAGTTGTCCCCCTGGCGGCCCCCGTTCCCCGACGCCCACACGAAGATAGAGCCCTTCCCTCCCCGGCCCTGAGGGGAAGGAGATGGGTGAGGAGTTAGTGTTAAGTTTGTTTTTAGTAGCCTTTTGCTTAGGTTCCTTGTCTATCTTCCCTTTTTAATCACATTTCTATGTATTTAGATAGATGATTTGTTAGGATTTTAGTTTGTTTTGACTGCTATGTGGGTAAAAGTGGAATAATTATGTTGGAATAATAATATGAGTTCCTTATTTATAAATCAGTCATTATGAAGTGTGGAGTGCCGTTGAACGGTCAATTTTACAATCAATATGAACTTGGTGACACAACAGAATAACATGATGTTGATTAATGTGATGCTATTTTTTTAAAGGGGAAAAAATAAAGGACTGTGGCATGTTACCTTCTGGATGCCGTACTCAAAGGCCTTTGACGCAAGGCGACCGGGGCCCTCCACCGTCTTGCCATCGTCGTTGGGTCCCCAGCTGGCACTGTAGATGTCCACGTGGTCCGGATTGAAGCCAATAGAACTGGCCTCGATGGCGTCCGTCACGATACCGTCCAACATGCGGATCCCTGAAGGTCAACATGATGGAACGCGTCAGGGAAATGTTTGATTGACTGTAGTTGAAGTGTTTTGAGTCATACTTTGCAAGTAGTGCAGTCTTGTGCCCAAATATAAAACATGTATCCATCCTAACTGGTATAGGCCTACAACAGGTGCCCAATTGTTGCTCAGTCATTTGGTTAAGTGGTATTGCGTAACCATCCGCTCAAAAAAGTAGGCCGCCACCAGGACAACTTCCCTTCTAGCTGCTGTGTGGATCACCCAGATACACACACACACCAGGTGTGCTTGCGTTACATCTCTTACCTCCAACCTTGGAGTTGTACGCCACCCCGACTCCACATTTATTGTTATCTGCCTGCATGGCGATCTCACCGGCACACCTGGTCCCGTGCCTGAGTACATACAGAAACAGAACACACAATTACAACTAAACATAATGGCCTTTTTCTTAACAATCTGTCCCTAACGGAATGAAGTTATATTTTCATATACATGTAGCAGTGGATTCAGATTACACCAGTCTGATCCGGAACCTTTCTAAACTGGTTGATGGTAAATCTCAGTATTGCTTACAGTAAGCTTTAAAATCTCATCAAAACATTGCAGATCCACCATAAAACCTCTGGAAGAGTGCCAGCGTCACCCGATTCATTTCGGGTTTGGTTACGTAAACTCCTTCATCTCAGTATGTGCTTGCCATAGAAAATATTGATACTGAGGGGGAATCTTGTCAACTGAAAATGAAAGGTCCTTTGGTTTCATGTCATTTGGCATGCTTATAGGAGACAATAAACAGCCTGCTGCTAGAGTCTAAATTATACAGAGAGCGCTCAGAGTAGATTGACAACAAAAGAGTGCACTAACAACATGGGTGGGCAGTGGGGTGGGCTGAGTGTGTGTTTTTTGTGTAACCCTCACAGCTGTCATAGAGTGAGTCCCCATTTACATGTATTGAGAGAGAGAGAGAGAAAGAGAGAGAGTGAGAGAGGAGCATTGAACCATTGAGGGTTTTAGTAAGCGGTTTTCTGTGTGCTTTTAACGTTTACCCAACAGATTAAGCCATTTTCTCTCTCTCCCTCAGTTCCAAACCAATTTCCGACGATGTGACATTGTCAGAGGTAAAATGGACTGCTTTGAGTTGTTATGGTTAGGATCTACCATATAAATAGATTTACTATAATTATACTATCTGTAATACTGTAATTCTACGTCTATGGGATCTACCACCCAAGCAAACACTACCAGGCACAATGGCAGATAGTGGAAAGATTTAGTCGATAGTCTGAGTGTTATTCTGGTGAACTACTTTTACTGACCCTCACGCTAACCTGTCTCCCAGGCTAGATCTCATGGACATGTAATAGAATAATTCAATATACAGCATTTTCTGGTAAATGTCGAAAATTGGTCAATCTATAGATTCCCTGGGAAATGTATTGCTTTTCAAATTTTCCACACTTAGCGTAATATATAAAGCAAATCAGTGAGGAACCCTATCAATATGACTGTTATAACATTATTTTACATCAACAGCTCCAGTTGGATCATCTGTGTGTGTCTGATATGCCCATTTCCAGCCGATGTGACCTGTGTGTTAGGGTGTTACTGTAAGCCTGCCCCCCTACTTAACAGGTTATTTAATCGACATAGAGGATGCTGTAACTAGGAAGTGGATTCCATGGATTGTATGGCGGCCTTCAGACTGCATGGGACCCGATCCATGAGGAATAACATTCTCCATTACTACTGGAGTCATAATCATTTTGATTGGATACTATGCTAGATAGCCCACATAAGTATAGGCATATGCATGTAAATGATGAATATACAAATGATGATTTGAAAAGAGATAAATGTGTGTGAAAAGTCCTACACACTTCTCCCATATGCCACAAAAAGCCATGATATGTACCTGAAATAAATAACCAACTTACTTGTTCTCATTTGTGGAGTCGTATCTGGGGAAGGGGTCAGGGTCGTTGTCATTGAAATCGTAGCTGGCTGCTGCGTCCTGGATAAGGACGAGACAGGGAAATCACAACAGGATTCAGAACCCAATCTGGCAACCCACTTAACAGGTTACTAGACCGAGGGCCAACCTGTTGTCACTGAGAGAGACTGTAAATAACGTCTATGGATGGTTGAACACCAGACAAGAGGACCATGGAGGAAATTATTTAGGGCTGAAACAAAGCCATTCAGTTTGAGAGAGTGGAATGTATAACATTTGTCGATAAGTCTTAAAGGTTTATTGCTACAAGGTTGTAGAAACTGAATAAGACAATATAATCTGCAGTTAAGATGAGTGTGGACAATTTTATTAGTAATTTTGAAAATATCTAATTCAAAAGTTTTACACTTGAATCAAAATCATTCATACCAGTCTGCTCTAATGTACAAGAAAACAAATAATGGCAAGAAAATTACTTTTGTAAGAATGACTCTGTGAAAATGATGCAAATGAAAGCAGAGGGCCTCGATGAGTGAGGATGAATGAGCGTCTCGCTTGAGTCCATTTCATTAATCACAGCCATGCTAGAATTACTGTTTGCCACCAAAACGCAGATATCCTCTCATTTTAAGATTTGAGAAATGTGCCAACATGACTGTCTAATGAGCTTTGGTTCATTATTAAAAACCACCTGACTAAAACAACTTATTGTTGAAAACCATCGTCTCACTTGCAATGGGGTTTGGCGGCCTAAATGTAGATTATTTGAAACTTTTACAGAAACTATTTCAAAATGTGCAAACACAATAGTCACTAGCTAAGACTTCTTCACTATGAACTTTAACCAATTTGAGGAAAAACCTTGATAAATGCTAAAGGCAACTTTGCAGTTATACTAGCCAAGTATTGTACCTGTCAACGCAACAACTACAAAATAATCTAGACCCACAATAATTCCTCCTATTATTGATGTCCAGTTCTATACTCAATGCACGCTATACAACTGTCAACACCACCTATCATATAGCAATTTATTACTGCTTATTAGTGCTTCATGAATGGCTGTGTAAGTGTCACTGACGTTGCTATGGGAACGCTCTCCCTTAGTGATGTCTGTTGCCGTGGAAACGTGGTCTTACATAGTTGGGGTAGATGTCAGTGTGGTTCCACTCCAGACCGTCGTCCAGCACGGTGATGACCACTCCTTTTCCTGTGAGCCCTTTCTTCCACACAGGGATCACGTGGAGGTCCAGCTTGGGCAGGGAGGACGACGTCCGAGTGTCTTGCTGGAATGGCCGACACAGAGGGGGAAGAGAAGGAGAGAGAGAAGGAGAGAGAGAGAGAAGGAGGGAGGGAGAGAATGAGGGAGAGAATGAGGGAGAGAGAGAGAGAGAGAGAGAGAGAGAGAGAGAGAGAGAGAGAGAGAGAGCGAGAGAGAGTAGTTTACGTTATTTGTAGTTAAATAATGTGCACAGTACATTAAGCATTAAAGGTATACTCCGGGATTTTGGCAAAGAGGCCCTTTATCTGGCGACACAGAGGGGGAAGAGAAGGAGAGAGAGAAGGAGAGAGAGAGAGAAGGAGGGAGGGAGAGAAGGAGAGAGAGAGAGAGAGAGAGACAGAGAGACAGAGAGAGAGAGAGAGAGAGAGAGAGAGTAGTTTACGTTATTTGTAGTTAAATAATGTGCACAGTACATTAAGCATTAAAGGTATACTCCGGGATTTTGGCAAAGAGGCCCTTTATCTGGCGACACAGAGGGGGAAGAGAAGGAGAGAGAGAAGGAGAGAGAGAGAGAAGGAGGGAGGGAGAGAAGGAGAGAGAGAGAGAGAGAGAGACAGAGAGACAGAGAGACAGAGAGAGAGAGAGAGAGAGAGAGAGAGAGAGAGAGAGAGTAGTTTACGTTATTTGTAGTTAAATAATGTGCACAGTACATTAAGCATTAAAGGTATACTCCGGGATTTTGGCAACGAGGCCCTTTATCTACTTCCCCAGAGTCAGATGAACTCATGGATACCATTTATATGTCTCTGAGTGAAGTTTGACAAAATCCTGAAGTATTCCTTTAAGACAAGATCTCATGACATTGGCACTGGATTTACATACAGGAAGTAGCTCCCATACGACGCAACAATGGAAAAAGAACAGTACAGCTGTGGTGCCTTAAGAGTGAGGTACTTCACCTAAATTGCGTCTGTGAATATCAAGTATCATAGGCCAGTCTCCAAAACAATGGAGAAAGGTCAACTGAAGATGGCCACCTCGCTATGCTAGCCCCATCTTCGCTAATGGAGACTGTCATGTCCAAAGTTGACCTTCAGGAATCAATTATCAGCTTGTTGCTTTCTTTGTCCTGGCTGACTCCACTCTCTTGACCACTTACAGCAGGAAACCCTTGGTGTGGAGAGCGTGCAGGCTAATCCAACAAAATTATTCAACTAAGTGGATCACCGAAGACCGCACTAAGGTTGAGAATCTTGTGACGCGTAATAAAACAATAATACTTCATCATTGTGTCATTGTGCGAGACCAACCTCTATCACCTCTACCAAGCCTCTATCTAATCAGTGATCCCTTTAATGTATGTAATGTAAATGTATGTGTATATGTTTGGGGCGCCCAACTAGTGTTAATTGGCTAATCAGTAGGGAGTGAAAGTGCAGCAGTCCTCCCTGAGGAGAGATGGGATGATTCAGAGCAGCAGACGGGACTAAAAAAAGACTAGGAAAGTCTTGGAGCTGCTGTGTTACCTCCCGCATTATGCACAGACACTGCGGAACGCCACCCAGTGCAATGAGTCATCGCTGTGATCTCTCTCTCGCTTTCCTTTTTTTCAAATTTCTCCTCTTTTTTCTCACTTGCTCCCTCTTTCTTCCCCATTTCTCCTCTCTCTCTCCTTTTTCTTGCTCTCTTTTGCGCCCCCTCTTTCTCCTTCTGTTTTTCTCTCACTTGCTCCCTCTTTCTTTCGCATTTCTCTTCTCTTTTGGGCCGTGTCACTTATCTTCCCTCTCTCCCTCTCCTCTGTTTTTCTCCGACTACTGGAGGAAGTGAAGAGATGGGGGGTGGTAGTTGGAGACTGGAGACTGACTGTTTGGATTATCATCAAAACCCTCAGATTCATCCTTACAACACAGATGCCACACAATACGTTTCTAGAACAGGGACGGTTGACAAAACAGTCAAATATATGACATTTTCCCTATAGATATCCTACCAAATGACCAAAACATATAAATGTGGCAGAATATCAGAGATTATGTTAGAAATCAGGCTGTGCGGTCCTATTGACGGTTTCTGTAGCTCCTCTGTCTTGGTATCTTATTGGATGACTCATCTATTGACTGGCACGTAAACTGTGGGCTCCAAACAGCCCTGCTCGCATGCACAAGCAAACATTTAGAATGGACTCTCACAGTAAACAAACACATCGGCATCCACACACGCTTACAGTACGTGCACAAACTGAAACCTGCACTCACACACACTCACACACACACACACCCCTTGACAGAGGGAGGAATCTAAATGTATTATGAGTCACTCCTTTGATTACATTATCAGGCAGTCACCCACTCCTACAATCTCTATCTCTCTCCATCTCCCTCTCTCCACATCACTTTCTCCATCCCTTCTTCTCTCCATCCCTCCCTCTCTCCATTACATCTTTCTCCCTCACTGCCTTCTGCCCCTCACTCCAAACCCCCTTCAATTCTTCTATCCATCAGTACCTCCATCCCTCTGTCCAAGTCATGTTTGTCACCCCCCCTCTACCTTTATCTCTCTACCTCTACCTCTCTACGCAATCCTCATTCCCTCCTTTCCTTTCCTATCACTCTTCTCCCTTCAACTTCCATGTCATTCCTGCTATCCCTCATTAGCTTTATCTCTCTTCCTCTATCCCTCGTTTTTGTCCTCCCACACACCCTTATTTCTATTTTCCCTTGGGTATTACTACTCTTTCTTTCTTTCTGTCATATTTGACAGTCCCTAGGGCCGGCCTAGGCCAATCAGAGTGGTGTCACAAATTAGTGGGCAGGTGTAGGTGTTTGTCAGCCATGCCCTCTCAGTGGCATACAGAAAACGAGCATGCCATGACCAATTCAATTAGGATCATCAGCCCAGATGAGTAAAAAGGATCCATCTCGATTTATTTCCTGCAGTGAGTGACTCAGTTCATTAAGTTCAGGGAAAATGGAAAGAGTGGAGGAAATACACACACTGACGCAAGTAAACATACTCAAACACACACACACACGTGCACACGCACACACACACGTGTCCTATCTTTATGAGATAAGAGATGTTGACTTAGCCAGCACCTCTGTCATGGAAAATAAAATAATAACTCTTTTAGCTTTTAACAAATGACCAAATACCGTTACAAAAGTTCTCTCCACTCTCACAATAGTTGCAAGGGGTCCATAATAGTGTATCAACGTTAGAAAAATGCTATTGGCATGCTATCAAAACACAACCTGTAAAAGTAATGACATAGAATAAAATAGTAAAAATGGAGTATAGGTTGGTTCAGCCTAATCCTAAACACAGGATGAAGTGGATATGTCTGTAATGTATCTGGTAGGGAATACATAGCTGTGACACTATCATCCACTGGCTTGGCCTCAATGGGCTGAAATAGCCATTGTGTACGGCTAAATTGGGTCTTAATGTGCGACAGCCTATTCCGTTCCACTGGATTACGATTGGAGAGAGTTGAGTTCCCTTATAATCTCCTGCCAGGCCAGCATGTTCAATTAAACAAATAGTCTTCTTTCTGGGATTTCGGATGATTACTAATTAATTTGGTTAAAACCTTTTCTTTCACATTTCTCAAGTGTCTCACACATATTCATGTATGATCGCTGAAGATATCTGTCTCATCCTCACACACACATGCATGTGCACACTGTCACGGATTCTGCCGAGGCTGCTCCTCCTCCTGGTTCGGGCAGGCTTCGGCGTTCGTCGTCCCCGGAGTACTAGCTGCCACCGTTGAATGTTTCTATGTTTGATTGCTTTTGTCTGTCTTTTACACCTGTGTCCGTTTGTGTCTGATTACGTGTCCTATAAGTTGCCTGTTTTGTATTGGTTAGGTTGTGTGTTGTTTTTCGCCTGTCCGTAGTGCTGCATGTTTTTGTTTCTGTTTCGTTGTTTAGTGTAATACGCATAGTTTGCGTATTGCTCGCCTCTGTTTTGTTTTGAGGCCGTTTACTGTATCTTTGCCTAGTGGTTTCACAGTAAACTTTGTTGGACTAAGCTTCGGTGTCCTGCGCCTGACTCCCACACCACATACACCTCAGCCTTGACAGAACAACACACCAGTATGGAGTCAGCAGGAGCAGTGGCGGCACCCAAGTCACTGGAGGATCGGATCAGCGACCAAGACATCATGATCCGGCAACTTGGGGCCGCCATGAACGAGGTGTCCAACACTCTGCGCCGGTTGGTTACGGGAGAGGTGCCCACGCCTTCTCACACCATCCCATCACCAACGGCCAGTCCTCCTCTCTCAGCACCGGAACCCAGTGGCATTCGGCTCTCGCTCCCGAGGGCATATGATGGTTCTGCAGCCGGGTGTCAGGGGTTCCTCCTGCAGGTGGAAATCTACCTGGCCACCATACACCCAGCGCCCTCGGGATACGAGAGCGTCTCCGCCCTCATCTCCTGTCTATCCGGCAAGGCGTTGGAGTGGGCCAACGCCGAATGGAGGGGAATAGACGCCGCTACCATCACCTACGCGGAGTTCTCCCGCCGCTTCAGGGCTGTCTTCGATCATCCACCTGAGGGGAAGGCGGCGGGGGAGCGTCTGTTCCACCTCCGACAGGGGAGGAGGAGCGCACAGGAGTTCGCCCTGGAGTTCCGGACTCTAGCGGCGGATGCGGGGTGGAATGAGAGGGCCCTCATCGACCATTACCGGTGTAGCCTACGAGAGGACGTTCGTCGTGAGCTGGCCTGCAGGGACACCAACCTATCCTTCGACCAGTTGGTGGACATCTCCATCCGTCTCGACACCCTGCTGGCTACCCGCGGACGTCCCGAGTGGGGGTCGTCCATTCCACCCTCCAGCACCTCCGAGCCGATTCCCATGGAGCTCGGAGGTGCTGGCGCTAGAGAGAGGAGGAGAGAGAACCCGAGGGGGGCCATCCCCTGCACCAACTGTGGCCGTGGAGGACACACCACGGCCAGGTGCTGGGGAGGGTCTCCTGGGAGAGGGGACAACAGGTCACGCACTGGGGAGTCATTTCAGGTGAGTAGGCGCCCCACTTACCCAGAGCTCTCTGTTGGTCACATGTGTATACCTGTGAGATTTCCACAGGTGGCACCTCATTCCCAGCATAAGGCGCTAGTAGATTCAGGCGCAGCTGGGAATTTTGTTGATCGTGCATTTTGTTATAGGTTAGGAATTCCCCTTCGGCCGGTAGAAGCCCCCTTTCCTGTTCATGCCCTAGACAGCCGGCCGTTGGGGTCGGGGTTGATCAGAGAAGTCACAGCACCACTTAAGATGACGACGCAGGGGGGTCATGAGGAGATCATTCAGTTTTATCTGATTGACTCTCCTGCGTATCCCGTGGTGCTGGGGCTTCCCTGGTTAAGCGCCCATGATCCTACCATTGCGTGGCAACAGAGGGCTCTTATGGAGTGGTCTGCCCAGTGTGTAGGGAGATGTCTAGGGGTTTCCTTAGGGGCGACCTCGGTAGAGAGTCCGAACCAAGTGCCCGCAATGCGCATTCCCCCTGAATATGAGGATTTAGCACTGGTGTTCAGCAAAACGAGGGCAACACGGCTACCACCTCATAGACAGGGGGATTGTGCGATAGATCTCAAGAGGAGACAGCGGCTATGGAGACTTACATAGCCGAGTCCTTGGCACAGGGATACATACGGTCCTCCACTTCCCCGATTTCCTCGAGTTTCTTCTTTGTGAAGAAGAAGGACGGGGGTTTGCGCCCGTGTATTGATTACCGTAGTCTCAATCAGATCACGGTTAAGTACAGTTACCCTCTTCCACTGATTGCGACTATGACAGAATCATTACGCGGAGCGCGGTTCTTCACAAAATTGGATCTCAGGAGCGCGTACAATCTGGTGCGCATTAGGGAGGGGGATGAATGGAAAACAGCTGTCATGAACCCTGCATCCTGAGTCGGTTCCTGCCTGTGTTGTCATTTTCTGCTCGGAATCTCCAGTTTCCTGAGGGTTCTGGAACGCTCCCTGCCTGGTTGCCGGGCGACGTTGCTAGGCGGGAGCTCTCCTGATTAACCGCACCTGCATCCCATCAGCGATCTGCACACCTGGTCCTGATCATCACCCTTTTTAAGCTCTGACCTGACATCCATTCCCTGCCGGATCGTTAGCCATGAACAGTATGTTTATCAGTGTATCAGCCTTAGAGCTTCTAGCGTTAGTTTTGTTGTTTTGCACCTTGTTGGCTTGCTGTGTACTTACCTCCGTTTTGTTCTATCTGCAGTCACTCACCCGGAACCTTCACCCAACCCCTGCCTGGTGGTCGGCGGCTGCCGAGCCATTATTGGACCTGTCACTGCACCCCCACCAACTCATCTCCGCCGCCCGCTCTGTTCCCTGGATTATTCAGCATCGCTTTTGAATCTGTTAAATAAACACTCACCTTCGTTTCAACTCACCTTGTCCTGGTCTGCTTCTGGGTTCTGGCTTTGTAACCCGTGACAACAGCATTTAGCACCACCTCGGGTCATTACGAGTATCTCGTCATGCCATACGGGTTAATGAATGCTCCTTCAGTCTTCCAATCCTTTGTTGACGAGATTTTCCGGGACATGCATGGGCAGGGTGTGGTAGTATACATCGACGACATCCTAGTGTACTCTTCTACACGAGCCGAGCATGTAGCCCTGGTGCGCCGAGTGTTGAGGAGACTGTTGGAGCATGACTTGTATGTCAAGGCAGAAAAATGCTTGTTCTTCCAGGAGTCAGTCTCCTTTTTGGGTTATCGGTTGTCTGCGTCTGGTGTGAAGATAGAGGTTGAACCGTGTGTCGGCCGTGCGTAATTGGCAAACTCCAACCACTGTAAAAGAGGTGCAGCAGTTTTTGGGTTTTGCTAATTACTACCGGAGGTTTATCCGGGGCTTTGGACAGGTTGCAGCTCCCATTACGTCCCTGCTAAAGGGGGGTCCGGTTCGTTTGCAGTGGTCAGCTGAGGCGGACAGGGCATTTGTCAAACTGAAGAACCTGTTCACCTCGGCCCCGGTGCTGGCGCATCCGGATCCCTCTTTACCATTCCAAGTAGAGGTAGACGCGTCCGAGGCCGGTATTGGGGCAGTCCTGTCACAACGGTCCGGCACGCCACCTAAGCTCCGCCCCTGTGCGTTCTATTCCAAGAAGCTCAGCTCGGCGGAGCGTAATTATGACGTAGGGGACAGGGAGCTGTTAGCTGTAGTCCAGGCCCTAAAGGTGTGGAGGCATTGGCTTGAGGGGGCTCAACACCCTTTCCTCATTCTGACTGATCACCGTAACCTGGAGTACATCCGGGCAGCTAGGAGATTGAACCCTCGTCAGGCTAGGTGGAACATGTTCCTGACCCGGTTTGTTTTTAAGATCACATACATCCCAGGGTCCCAGAACGGTAAGGCAGACGCCCTGTCCCGGCGGTATGACACAGAGGAGAGGTCCATTGAGCCTACTCCCATACTGCCGGAGTCTTGTCTGGTGGCTCCGGTGGTGTGGGAGGTCGATGCGGAGATCGAGCGGGTACTGCGTACCGACCCTACTCCCCCCCGAGTGTCCTGTGGGGCGGACGTACGTTCCGCTCGAGGTTCGTGATCGCCCTATTTATTGGGCTCATACATCACCCTCCTCTGGACATCCAGGTATTGGCCGGACAGTGCACTGCCTTAGCGTGAAATACTGGTGGCCAACGTTAGCTAAGGATGTGAGGGTTTATGTCTCCTCCTGCTCGGTGTGCGCCCAGTGTAAGGCGCCTAGACATTTGCCCAGGGGATAGTTACATCCCCTGCCCGTTCCACAACGACCATGGTCCCACCTCTCGGTGGATTTTGTGACCGACCTACCCCCCTCCCAGGGGAATACCACCATTTTGGTCGTTGTGGATCGGTTTTCCAAGGCCTGTCGTCTCCTCCCAATGCCGGGTCTCCCTACTGCCCTACAGACCGCTGAGGCCCTATTTACCCACGTGTTCCGGCACTATGGGGTCCCCGAGGATATTGTGTCTGACCGAGGTCCCCAGTTCACCTCCAGAGTCTGGGGGGCGTTCATGGAACGCTTGGGGGTCTCGATGAGCCTTACCTCGGGGTACCACCCAGAGAGCAATGGGCAGGTTGAACGAGTCAACCAGGATGTGGGTAGGTTTCTGAGGTCCTATTGCCAGGGCCGGCCGGAGGAGTGGTCTAGGTATATCCCCTGGGCAGAGATGGCCCAGAACTCTCTCCGCCACTCCTCCACCAATTTAACACCTTTCCAGTGTGTTTTAGGGTATCAGCCGGTCCTGGCACCATGGCACGAGAGCCAGATCGAGGCCCCTGCGGTGGATGAGTGGATTCGGCGCTCGGAGGAGACATGGGACGCTGCCCATGTCCATCTGCAGCGGGCCATCCGTCAACAAAAGGCGAGCGCCGATCGCCACCGCAGTGAGGGACCGGTATATGCACCGGGAGATCGAGTCTGGCTCTCGACTCGAAACCTGCCCCTCCGCCTGCCCTGCCGGAAGCTGGGTCGGCGGTTTGTGGGGCCCTTTAAAGTCCTGAGAAGATTGAACGAGGTGTGTTACAGGTTACAACTGCCTATTGAGTACAAGAATATTAACCCCTCGTTCCATGTGTCTCTTCTCAGGCCGGTGGTAGCTGGCCCACTCCAAGAAGATGAGATAAGAAAGACCCCTCCGCCCACTTTGGACATCGAGGCGGCCCTGGCGTACAGGGTCCGGACCATCTTGGACTCGAGGCGCCGGATGAGTGGTCTCCAGTATCTCGTGGAGTGGGAGGGGTACGGTCCGGAGGAACGGTGCTGGGTGCCTAGGAGGGACATCCTAGATCCATCCCTCCTGACTGAGTTCCACCGTGGGCATCCCACGCGCCCGGATCCGCGTCCTCCTGGCCGTCCCCGAGGCCGGGGTCGGCGCACGGCTGGAGCCGCGCGTCAAGGGGGGGGGGGTACTGTCACGGATTCTGCCGAGGCTGCTCCTCCTCCTGGTTCGGGCAGGCTTCGGCGTTCGTCGTCCCCGGAGTACTAGCTGCCACCGTTGAATCTTTCTATGTTTGATTGCTTTTGTCTGTCTTTTACACCTGTGTCCGTTTGTGTCTGATTACGTGTCCTATAAGTTGCCTGTTTTGTATTGGTTAGGTTGTGTGTTGTTTTTCGCCTGTCCGTAGTGCTGCGTGTTTTTGTTTCTGTTTCGTTGTTTAGTGTAATACGCATAGTTTGCGTATTGCTCGCCTCTGTTTTGTTTTGAGGCCGTTTACTGTATCTTTGCCTAGTGGTTTCACAGTAAACTTTGTTGGACTAAGCTTCGGTGTCCTGCGCCTGACTCCCACACCACATACACCTCAGCCTTGACACACGCCAATGTACACACATGCTGTTCCTCACACATGTAGGCTTTCCTTTCAATTGGACAGATCCTAATTGTGATAGGCAACAACATTAATACAACCCCCTAAGTCTAACGCAAGACCTCTAATGAACTGGTGCTATACACACTTCTCTAAAAGGCTTATGAAGGCAAAACATCTACTCATTAGGAAGCTGTCCGTCCCTGCCAGTGCTGAATCTCAGGGGGCTCTGGGATTGTGTTAGCCTGGTCCCAGATCTGTTTGTGCTGTCTTTCCAATACCCAATGACTATGACCATTAGGAATTGGCAAGACAGCACAAACAGATCTGGGACCAGGCTAGGATTTTGTTTGTGAATCAGGTCAAACAGAAGGCAGCAGCAGACACCAGCCGGATCTGAACTGACATCACTGATAGTCTGGTCAGAAAACACATTTTAGATTGCTGTTTATTCAGCATTTCAATTCTGGCACTGGCTATTGGCCATGACAAGAAATAACTAAATAACTACACAGACAGCCAAACAACCAACTAACCACACAGACAACCAAATAACCACACAGATAACCAAACAACCAATGAACCACACAGACAACCAAATAACCATAAAACAACCTAGACTGTTCAAACGGTAATATTACTCACCGGGTATGACTTATAGGAAACATATGGGAACGTGTGGATCTTTGGGACTTACCAGGTACCACTGCTGGTTCCACATAGGGTCATTGAACAGCTTGTCCACCGGACAGTCCCGGCATGACCCCAGTGACGCCCGCTTACTGCGCCGCTTCTCATATTGTTGCTCCGCCCACGATACCTTGACGCCCAAACAGACAGAGAGATATCAGAATACTGCCATATTTATGTTTATGCTGTATATTTTCTTACGTAGCTAATTCACACGCACATGTGTTTTATTCTGAAAATTGGAGAACTGTACCCGTGAGAAGAGTCTACCAGAAGAGACACACTGTGTCCAAAATGGCACCCTATTCCCTTTAGTGTACTTCCCTGGTCAAAAGTAGTGCACTATATAGGAAATAGGGTGCCACCATTTCAGACACATCCATAGACAACGTTACAGATATAGGACTGTTTACCCGATCATCCTCGGACAGGCGTTTGGTGATGTGATCGGCACTTCGTTTCATCCTGCTAGGATGAGACTGGTGTTTGAACAAGTAATGGTTTTCTAGCGCCCCAATCTGCAGACAAGAGGAGAGTGGTGGGTTATTTAATATTTCATAACAGTGATGTAACACCATTATCCTCTTCCTGTCAATCCCGTAACATAGGACTGCCTGCAATTATTAATTATATATTAATCAAGTGCCTTGGGTCATATTACACCAGGAATGACATTCCCTTTAAATGTCTTGAACAGCTTGTTGAACCAGTACCTTCGATCACTCTCAAACATGGGTAGCTGTTGATATTCAATTATTATATTTCTATGACATGAAGGCAGATACCACCACAACAGCAATAGGCCTGCCAGTTTCCTTATTAGTTATATTTACAGCAGGCCTTGTTCAGGAATTTCCTGGGAAAGCATAACACAGCTAAACCCACTGAATCTAAAGGTGCTTATCAGAATATCATGCATATTGTGCAAATAATGAGTCAATCATAGATACTGCTTAAAAGTAAAAGAAAAATATCACTAATCTAGGATACGTGTTACTCTGAGCCATAGTTTAGGCCTATTATATTGGTGGAGCTGATATGGCATCATACCCACCCCCCTGTCTGAATGGAAACACAGGTTAATCATTGACCTGTGTAGTGAGAGAGCTAGGTTCCTCTGAGTAGACTAGAGAGAGATCACCTGGGGGTCTATACTGTAGGCCTAATATGTTTATTTTGGACAAGGTAGACAGTGAATTACAACATTGGAGATAGACATATTTACAGAAGGGGGCTATCATCAGTATACAGCACACAATGAGTCATTGTTAAAGCCTATTACATGAAATATGGATTGGATCCCCATCTTTTGCCCAAATACATTTTAAGACTAATTGTTTGTGCTTGTTTGATGACATACATTTACTTATTATAAAGTAACAGTGATATGCAAATACACGGTTACACCAGGATCAAGTATGTGAAACCCTGGGTTACACTATTGAATTTCCCTGCTCACTCCGACCAGAATTATGAAGATGATTGACAGAGTGCACCAATCACTATAGTTGCTGTGTTTTAAATCTCAGTTGAAGCATAAATTCAGTAAGGATGTTGTCTGTGTAAGCTACAACATCAGCAACAAGGCTGCCATGGCACCCTCCATCTCAGCTTTCAGCTGTATACAACCGAATTAATAATAATAATAATAATAATAATAGTAATAATAATAATAATAATAATAATAATAATAATAAAGTGGAATACTGACACCAAGACAAGATACTGAGCCAAATTGAACACAGAAAGATGCAAATTCATTGTATAATGTAAAGAGATACACAGTTCCAAGACCACTACTGTGGAGGGTGAAGTGTTCTCGGGCGTTGCTGTGGCGCTAACCTACCTGGCGGACTACTCGGTAGTCCAGTTCTTTGGCGATGGACCTGGCGGCGTCCGGTCCTCCGGGAATCTCCACCGCCCATTCGTTGAGGTACTGTCTGTCCCCGAACGAAGCATCCACGGAACGAGCGATGGAGCAGAGAACCGCAAGAGCACAGCACATCACCGTTGTTGGGCAACATCTCATTTCCATCTCAGAGAAAGTACGATTAGATTTAAAATATATTTGATTGATGCTCTTGGAAAGCATACAAAGACAACAAATTAAAAACAAAAATGCAAGTAATATTAAATAAATTGGTTCCCCTTGCATGTATTTTTTCCTTCAAAGTGCAGGGTGGGAAAGAGCACCTGTCACGGCGTTATTGTCTTATTGAACCATCAAGGAAAGCAAGCGGAGAGTAAACCTTGGAAGTGGGCGAAAATGTTTACACGTCAAATTACGAAGAGGCTCTGACGTCAACGAGCCTATATACCACGGGGTAGGGTCTATGTTCGAGTCCCGAGAGAGACAAGCGGGGAGAAGGAGCATCAGAGGGGAGGGGAAAGTTATATCTAAAAATATCCCTGTATTGTTTTATTCAAGCTAGCAGGGGTATGACAATGAATACTACTGTAATAGTAATGTGTGTGCACCAAACATGCAGAGGAAAATACATTTAGCACCATGTATCTCTAAAGTTTAGCCTACTTTCCCCCCATTCAAGAATAATGTTTCTTTAATGGAAGAGACCCCCACCCTCACTAACGCATAGTCTATGTCAGCCAAGTAGGCTGTCGTCTGAAGCACGTCCAAACTTAATGTTTATGTTATTATTGCGTTAACTCTATGATTTTGATTGTTGTTGTGCAAGGAAAATGCAAGAGCAAGAATAGGCTAATATAGGCACTATAGCTTTCAGAGACCACACTACTTGAACTGGGATTGACTATTAGCCTATGTGTGACAAATCATGGCAGCATTGCAAAATAGGTCTTTGAGATGTGTAAAATATTGGCATGACTGCCAATTTTCTTCAAGTGTATCTGTTACATGCACCCCCAAAGAGAGCTCACTCCTACCGAGGCTGTGGTGACGCATTTGTGCAGCGCATATGTGGTCCTCTGTAGCTCAATTGGTAGAGCATGGCGCTTGTAACGCCAGGGTAGTGGGTTCGATCCCCGGGACCACCCATACGTAAAAATGTATGCACACATGTCTGTAAGTCGCTTTGGATAAAAGCTTCTGCTAAATGGCATGTTATTATTATATCGCTGTTTCAGCACAACGGCATTGGACACTGGTGAGGACAAGGTTAAAGCAAACAAGTTGTTTCATATGGGGAAATTATTCTCTCGGTGAAAAACGTGGATGATTGAAATATATATTTGCAGTGTGCTTTGAAAAAAGGTTGTATATTATAGCCTTTTATACAACAGCCTGTATAATATGGGCATATAACCTAATAATAGGCCTATGTTTATGATAGGCTATGGAAAGAAATAACAGTATATTTTGCATGATTAGGCCTTCTAATTTCCTCTTTATTACACCTGCATTAAAAAAGTAGGCATATTATGGCCGGGGCTTGTAATAAGAATAGGCTAACGAAGTAGTCTAAGTAGCCTACACAGTAAATTTTGAAGTGTTAAAGTAACACTTAAAGAGTTAAATTTAACACTATTTCTGAGTGTATATGGTCCCACCCTGAAATAGTGTTAATTTGACTCTTTTCATAGTGTTAACATTTTAGAGTTAAATTAACTCTAAATAGAGTAAAAATTTAACACTCGCTTACACTGAATAGTGTTATTTTAATTTTACACTAAAGGTTAAATAACACTGGAGAGTGTAAATATTACCCTTGGAAGAGTTAATCATTTACTCCTCTAAAATAACAAATCAACTCTGATTGAGTTTGATTCCAGTCCAGTTTAACACTGCATGGAGTTGACACTCAAGGTTAAAATAACTCTGATAAGTGTTGATGTTACACACTATTGTGTTGATAATTGACTATCTTGCAGTGAAAAACAAGCTCAAATAGAGTCAAATTCTAACACCGTATAGTGTCACGGAAATAAATCTCAGCAGTATTCATTTTACACTTTTTTAGTGTCAAATTACACCAAATACTCCATTAAGTGAGTAAAAATCACAACTTACCACAAAATAATGCATTTCAAATTTTTATTAACAGCTCAACTATGTCAGGCTAAAATATATTAAGAATACAAATCCCTTTTTAAAACATTGACCTTAGGTTTCCATAAAATGGCAATAGGGAACAACATACAAGGAGGAATCTGTCGTTCCATAATTCATTTGAACATCAAAAGGTTTAAAGTAACACAGTTCAGTAATGTTGATCACCTTTTGAACCCTGTCTGGATGCATCCTGACCTTAAAGGCATAGTAATGGTAATCAAAACACACTGTTTCCATCAGTTTTCCACAGAGCAATACACAGTCATCTTTCACAGCAATAATTTTGATTTTACAAAATACAGGCATCTCAAATGCTACCTCAGTACAGATAATGAAGTCACGGCGGTACTCTGTACCATGATGTTTGATCCACTTGGCAGAAAACACACTGGTAGACAATACAGACCCAAATTTTAAAGCAATCTCGGGACCTTCTTTGAGCTCACTAAGTGTTACCATCTTCCCCGAACCTAAAGTTAATCTTTCCTTGCTAAAGGACTCTCGATACATTGCCATACAACTTTGGTGCTTTTTGGCTAATGTTTTTGTTACATTTTTAAAGCTTTTTAATTGCTTCTTAAAAAAATTATGTTTAGCTTCATAACGCATGCACCACATGTGCAGAACTGGGCCGATGTTTTTTATATTACGAGGGTAATGAATCATGAAGTGATGCTTTGGTAAGAGATTGATTGCAGGAAACAACTGCTTGAAGAGCTGATGATGATCAATGATTAAATGTTTGAGGTAAATGGTCATGCCTTCTGTAAGGACTGGGGAAAATACAATGTTAACAATGTGTAGAAGCAAAAGTAGAAGATGCCAGTGCTGGTCATCTGACTGTATTAAATCACCAAATAGCAAAGGCATATTACGTAATAAGCACCAAGACTGTATAGCATTCAACCCCAAATCATTACTTCCATCAAACAACTTTACTCTAGGTGGACGGTTTCGCTGCTGATTGTATCCATAGTCAAAAGCATGTATTCTACCAGCCAGTTGTTCAGCATTTAGGAAGTTTTCCTTAATGTACTGCAGGACAAGTTTGACTTCAAACTGAGCAACTCCTTCTAAAATATCGTGCATTATATCTACAGAAAAATTGTTGGCTGTATTAAAATACTGTAGTGAATTCAGCAGACAAATGCGTTTGACACCATAGATATGAGGTAGTGTAGGATCTGTTTGTAAAGTTTGACAGTGCAGTTTGTGCATCTCGATAGTTCGTAGTACAACTTTTGGATCATCTTCACAGAACACAGTTTGAAAACAATCTTTCTCAAGGAGACAGAAACGACAACAATACCTTGCCCCAAATGACTCCACAAAGCCAAATAAACCATGCAACCCAAGATTATCACCAGTGACCTGAACTATGGTACCGTGAATCACATCTTTCAATCTGGGAACTTTAAGTCCCTCTGTCTCGAGTACTTTAAGATCACTGACAAGTGGCTCAAGTATCAAATTAAAACCATAACGCTTGATGTCCTGCGCATGGAAAAGAGCACCCAAATGAATATTTATCAATGATGAATTAAAGATTGGGGGAAAATTCCTTAATGTAAAGTATATAGCACCTAATTTGTGTATACCCTTTTTAGACCCCAAGGGGTTTGCTGTTTCAAAGTCGTCATAAAATAGCTGGATCTGTATGGCATCTTTTTCTATAGAGAATAAGGGACTTTTTTAAAAATAGGCGGCATCTCTCAAGTCTGCATACACACCTTCCTTGGGCATGTGCCTGGGCTTGAACATGTCTGCAAGTTCTGGGTTTTGAAAAATGGCCTTTAGTGTTTCTAAAATAGGAATATATGCAAACTTGTCAGTTACAACGACCTGATCGTATGTCCCAGTTGTTTTGTTTCTTCTGCTGTCAAATCTTGTGCCAAGCACCTTTTCAACAGGTTCTACGATTCCCCATTTCTCTTTGAAGTGTTTATTTCGTTTAGCTTCTGAATTTAAGGGTGTGAAAGGGTTTTCCAACTTTTGCAAAGATTGTTCTATTCTGTTCTTATTTTCAGTTTCCTGTGGAGATAAGCACTGCAAAGCTGCATCTGTAGCTTGACTTTGAATCTCAAAAAACACTTCTTCCATGGAGGAAACAAAACTATTTACAGTAGATTGACTTAATCCAGCTGCTTTTAGTTGTGCAACAGCAGAGGCACACATATCTAGAGTGCTCCTGTTGGACTTTTTCAACAGAGTAGATGTGGCTACCTCGTGTTCATTAACTGTCCGTGACGTTGTAGCTGTCTCCTCTACATTAGTGGTCACTGCCTCTCCAATGCTGCTTAAATAAACATCAGGGTCAACCTGTTGGTCAATATACTCAGTGTGTTTTGTGTTTAAATGTTTCCTAAAACCAGAAAACGTACCAAACGCACAGCCACATCCAGTCTGAGCACATTTAAGCCGGAGATTTTTTCCAGGCAAGTAACCGTGAACTAATCGTAAATGCCTAACAAGCATATTTGAACTCGATAACTCAGCCTGACAAACAAAACACTTCATGTTCGAGGAGAAACTTCAAGCACTAATGAAGTAACCTCGCCCTGATTTCAGCAACACGAGGGCTCTCTTTGACCTTGCCAGCATCGATGCTGTACACTGTAGTTTGGATGAAAGTGTACATGTTGTGGAGCATGGTGTTGTAGGATGTGCCAAACACAAAATGTGCCTTAAATAGTTCGTCAAAAGCAACAAGAGAAGAGGTTGACCTGCAAGGTATGGCATTCTTGTCGATAATGATGAAGAACTGGTGGATTGCATTCTTCTTAACTCCAACAGCTAGGAGATAGGGCTGAGCGCTAGTAGTGATGGCATCGAGATGCTCTTGAATGTTTGTTCCGGTCTGCGAAGACAAATGAGGGAAAACTGTAGTTAATGGCCAAGTAGTTGTAGAATATGCAGAAAGAGCCAATACACTACTCTTATTGAATATGAATATTGAATGAATACTTGTAGCCTAATATTAGGTGTTCATACCACAAATTAGAAAA